ATTCTTAAATTATTGATATACTACAGAATGTTAATCAACTAATAAAAATACCTTATAAAAAATTTGGATTGATGCAACTGTTGAAGGATTGGTGTTGAAATTATGATTTATGATAAAAAGAAAATGAATAATATCCATTAAAAAATTTAGAAAGAGAGTTTGAAATCTTAATTAACTAAAATATCCTAATATAATGAACTTATATTTAACAACTATTAATTCTATGTATTTATTATTTTTTAAGTAATATTTATAAAATAAACTATATTTAAATTCAATAAATAATTCATAGGTTATAAAAAAGTTTTATATATTAAGCTTATCATATTTATGAAAACGATAAATTAATATATTTAATCATGGAATATATATTTTCCTTTTTTAATATAATATAACAATAAAATTTTTTAAAGTGTTTTTTACAGTTTGACAGCGTGGAGAAGAACATTGTAATAAAAGAATTTCTTGCATGATAAGCAAGGTTACTTTGAATTGCATAATTACTAAGTGAAACACATAATTAACAGAAATCTAAATTAGTTGGTATATACTAATAATATATCGAATTCAAGCAATTAGTAACAATCAAACCTATGAAATTAAAAGTGATTAACATAGTGAGCAAGAGTTATTAGAAATAAACTAACCAACACTACATTATTTGCACATCCAAATAAGAGTAAGAACAACAACCTTTATTTGTAGAGCCATTTATACAAGTTGTGTATCCTGTTGAAAATTAAACTTAAGAAGATTCATTTATATAATATTTATGAGCACAAGATTAACATGTAATACTTAAGGTCATGCTTCTAGCTGGATATCTTTCGGTTTTGTTCTATATTGGGTAGCTTTTATGAATCTGAATGATATTGCGCTCTCTAACTTTTCCTCTTATCAGATTCTAGAGAATAAATATTAAGTGAAATTTTATAAAGGCACTTTTTTGAAGAAAATATTTGTAATTATAGAATACTTCTGCCAAGAGATGTCATTAAATTATTAATTAAACCAACCATTAATCAAAAAAAGTTGGATTAAGAAGTAGGAAAATAATCATTTTGGGCAATAAAATTAAAATACACCAGAAGGTTTAGAGGAGGATCTAAGATCGAGTATACCTTATAATAATTTCTCATTTCCAAAAATCACCTTCTAAAGCATACTTCTTAAAAGGAGAGAAATAATTTAATTTTAATTGTAAATGATAATGCATTTTGAATAGAAGCTCATATTAAATTTTCTATTGAAAATATTACTAAACTATGTGCCTAAAACTTAATCAGAGTCTGTAAAATAGCAAAATATATAAACTTAAGTTTTCCTAATAATTTTACTAAGAATTGGATAATCAGAAAACAAAAGTACTCTCTTTTTTACTCATAAATTAGTTAAGCACAAGTTTTTGAACTTGGAGAATATCAGAATAACTTTAGAATGGGTAATTGGAAGAATATTTTTCAAGTTAAGAAGATGTAATTTAGTCTATTAATTATTTAGTGGTGGTGGGTTCTATAATAAATATGGTTAAAAGTAAGGCAAATGGATTGAGCTGGATGAATAATTTTTTAGCGAAAAATAAATCACTTATATTGGTGAATATAATATCAAAGGTGATAAGGTAGGTAGATGGGATACTTGCTATAATTATTATGATAAAGGAT